AGTCTGTTCCCATTTTCCAGATGATGAAATAGGCCCTGAAAGAGCAGTGGCCTTCAAGGACAATAAAGATGGAGATTGGAATGCAGGCCTCCTGTCTGCTAGGGTATCTCCTATAGCCCTCCTCTGAGAGCATCTGAGGGGTGGTAGCTGATGGGGCTAGGAACCTAGGGGTTGTGTGTCTTTGTGTGCCAGGGTTATCTGTGGCCAACATGGCAGGGTCATTGTGTCCCTTTGTGAATGCTCCTGTGTGCAGGAACTTGAGGGCCAGAGAAGGATGGACATATTTCTATAATATTGGGTGGCCTCCCCAGGCTGAGAAGGGGGATGGGTCCTAAAGGATAGAAAAAGGAACAGAAACTTTGCTCCTAGTGGGAAGGGAGGCACTAGAAGTCAGGTTTGGGGCAAGGATGAGAAGGGTTCTGAGGCTAGGTTAGGGCAAGGGAAATAAAGCCCAAAATGGGGTATAGATCCCTGGAAACTGAGACACACTCTTAGCCCTTATGTGGACCAGCCCTCTGGCCATCCCAATGGGCAACCTCAGGGGAAGTGATCACATGATGTAGCACTTCTCAGCTGATTGCTTGAGGTCCCCCAGTGTGGTCTGGGCCTTGTCCTTAAGTGAGCCGAGGTCCAAGCCTGGGAGGCTGCTCAGCTGCCCGAGGACTGAGGCCTTCTCCTCCTCCTCCTCTGTGTCCTCCTCAATCATCTTGGCCAGCTCCCGGGGTAGCTCCACATCTCCACCTGCCATCTGGATCTGGCTCTCATCTGTCTCGTTCTGAAGGGAAAAGGGGGCGGGGTGGAGGTGCAGGTCTGTGAGGACTCAGAGTTGAAGTGTCAGGAAAGAAACCTGGACTGGGTTCCAGTCCCTGAGCCATAGCCTTAGCTGTCCCCCAACCTTTTTTTTTTTTTTTTTTTTGAGATAGGTTCTCATTAAATTGCTTAGGGCCTCACTAAGTTGCAGAAGTTGATTTTGAACTTGCAACCCTCCTTCCTTAGCCTCCCAAGCCACTGGGATTATAGGTGTGCACCATCGCCCCCAGCTCAGGTCCCTAGATTCTTGAGCCCCATGTTCTAGTGAGCTCTTCCCCTACCCATAACACCCCAGGGTCAAGCATTTGATGCATTGACCTGGAGGCCTTGCACTTTCATACTGCCTTACTTCACTCTGAGACACTGAAGGACTTAGCATACTGAGTAAAGAGAAAATGAAAATGCCCAGGAGTCACACTGTTAAAATCAACTGTCATGTACTGACTATTGTTAACACCACCAAAGGACATAACCAATAATAGTGATGGGTACCATTTATCAACTCCTGTTTTATGGCTAATGTTGAGCTGGGTTGCTTTTAATTCTCACAATAAAAAAGTATCTAGGAGGTAGTTCCTCTTGTCTCCACTTTACAAATAGGAAATAGAGGTTCAGATAATTTAAGTAAGTAACTTGCCCAAGGCCACACAGCTAGGAAACAGGGGAGCTAGACTCAAATCTATGTCACTGATTCCAACATCTATGCTGTCTTTTCACAGCACCTGCCCATGGCTAGTGCACTTCTTTGTCCCTGTGGGAGGCATTGGGACCATGTGTCCTACTCAGTCACATCCAAGTCTTGCCCCTTCTTGTAGACTCAGAGTTCCCTAATGGCAGGAGTTGTGTCCCTTAGATACTCAGTGCAAGCATTTGAGTAATGACTCCATTCCTAGCTGGGTTTGCAGCCAGGCAGGCTTTTTGGATTGGTTTTCCCTTTGAGAGACTTCCAAAAGACTGGTGCTCTGTGGGAAGTCAGAGGCAGCCAGGGGCTCAGTAAACATTTGTTGAATGAGTGAAGGTAATGTTCACTGATCTTTCAATTCAAGTGGAAGATCAAGGTCAGAAGTGTTATAGCACTTTACCTCTATTTCCCCTTCAGTCTAGCTCTATTCCAGGCACTCTAGGGTGATATCCTGGAAGTGGCTTATGCTTGGGTTGCTTTCTTAGGTTACAGAAGTAACATACTTGTGTGCTTACGGTGCTGAGTGATTACAGGAGCACAGGGGACATCCTGATAAATACACCTTGGCTGCTTGGAGGTACTTTGCTCTCTACAGGCAGACCCCATGCCAGGAAAACAGCCTTAGGGCCTGAATTGAGCACAGGCTCAGTATTCACAGGCATGAGCTCCATCTCTCTCTGGCTATATGACCTTAGCCAAGTCCTTTAATCTCTCTGAGACTTAGTTTCCTTATTTGTAGATGTGATAGCTACTTGGCAGCATTATTGAGGTTATTAGATGAGAACATGGCCAAGTACCTCTTACATCAGTCACTGGCCTTCTCTTCTTCAGCATGCCCTCCATGCATGCTCAGAAGGCCTGAGAATACTCATTCCTGAGGTAAAATCTACTTTCTGTCTCCTTTGTTCCTTCTGAGGCCAGGCCTGATTGGGGTGGAGGGTTGGGGACACAAACCTGTCAGTCTCTGGATGATTGGGTTTCCCCTAAACACCAAGCCCTCACTCTTGGCAGCGCTGATTAACTGAGTGAATGAACAAATGAATGAAAAAGAAAGATTCAACCAAGCACCCTGTGAGTCTCACGGGCTGAGAGCTCTGGCGCACAGAGTGGATCAAGGAGTTCTAAGCCCAGAGCTCAGGGCGCGGTCCACTCTTACAGCTTGAGCTCTCGTACCTTGGGCAGTCGGTATTTATCTCGAAAGTGAGTCCGCAGCGTGGCCCGCTCTGCTTTTCTCTGCGTGAACTGCGCGTCCCGCTCCATCCTGCCAGGATACCGGGGTGGAGTCAACGCAAGGACTGAAAGAAGGGGCGGGGTCTGCGAGCGAGGGCCCCAAGGGGTCTCTGGAGTACTGGTAGCAACCTGCATGGGTCCAGCCGTCTGGCCTGTGCATAGCTAGGGCTCTCAGACCTGACCCGATTAGATTGCTTTTTGTTGCTTTTCCCCATCATCGTGCCCTCTGCGGACTCTGCACCCGCCACTGAACGGGGGTGTCAGTCTTTCTAACCCTCTCTGCAGATCCCAATATTTGTGCCGTTCCTGACTCATGCCTGTCTTTCCCTCCCTGACAAACTGTGTCATGAGGGGGGAAAATATTAGGAATAGATCTGAGTTCCTATTGTGGCTCCATTACTACTTTAGGGTATGTCTTTAGGTAAGTCACTTGCCTTTCTCATCTGTAAAATGGGGATGAGACATTGCAACTCACAACGCTGTTAGGATTAAGTGAATTAACAAGTAACATTTAACGAAGATTTGCTACGTGCTAGGCTCTGGGCTAGATGATTTACATGCATTAAGTTATTTAATCTACATGAATATATAAAGCATATATTAAGACGACCATCCCCTTTCCAGAAGAGGAAAAGAGGCATAGAAAGGTTAAGTAACTTGCCTAAAGTTACCCAGCTAATGAGAAGCAAAGCCAGGATCTGAACCCAAGCAGCCTAACTGCACCCCCACCTCCGCTGTGTCCCAGGACTGCTGGAACACAGTAGGCTCAATATCCACGGGTGCTCCCATCTCAGGATCTGTCTCCGCGACTCTGAGCACCCCCACCACCACCTCTGCTGTGCTGCTTTTCTCAGAGCTTCTGGCTCAAAGGAGCCCCAGTTGGAAGACACAGGCGGCTAGGACCAGATCGGATTAAGGGATTATTTGCTTCGTCAGAAATGCACGTGCACCCAGCTCCCTGTCCCAGGCACCGATCACCCCTCCCCCTATGCCCTCTGGGCCAGAGTACAGAGCTGGAGCAGGGTCCTGGGTTTGAAAAGCAGTGGCTGTGGGAGTAGCCTAGAAGGCATCTCCCAGCCTCTTATCACATGTAGGAAGGCAGGGGAGGAAAGTTGGGTCCCCAGATTGACCCAAGGGTGAGCACAGCGGCTGTGTGTATGTGTGGGGGTCGCTGGAACCGGGAAGGGATCCCACTCACTTTTCTTCCACCAGTTGCTTCTGATACTCCTCGTACTCCTCTCGGCTCATGCCCTGCGCTTCCGCTGCGGACTTGTCCCCGTCCCCCTTGTCCTCGCCGCCCCCCAGGCTCCCGGTGAGGTTCTTCAGCTGGCCACCCACCATGGTCTTCACCATGAACGCCATGGTCTTCGCCAGCCGGGGCACCAGGCGCCTGGTACCACACACCGGGCTCCGGCACGTCCGCGCTCACTTCAGCACCAGGTCCCGCGGACAGCTCCCGCCGCTAGCCCTCGCCCCACGCTTTGCGCCGCCTGTCGCCCGCCCCCGCCCGGGCCCGCCCCTACCTTCCCAAACCCCTCCTCACGGGGGGCGGGGGGCATGCACGGGGCTGAGAAGGCTGGACCACGTGCCCGCTCCTCACTCCCGCCTCTCCCACGTGCCTCCTTCAACGCCAAGCTCTGCTGGCCACTGCTGACAGCGGATTAGGGCCTGCGGTGATGGGGTCGCTCCTCCGGGGACCGGGGTTGCGCTGATGCTTTCCCTGCTTCCTAACCTCCTTCAACCTACTCCCCTCCTGAGTCACTGATATTCAGGATTTCAGCTGGGAGATCCAAGCAGCAGCAAGGGGCAAAACCTCACCCCATCCTTCTTTCCTCCACCCCCCAGCCCCGAAACCTGCTGGCCCTCGAGCTTGGGACTGGGAAGGAAGGCCCGAAAGCGTTAGCAGGAATCCCAGTTATGGATTCATGTGTTCCCCTCTCGGGGTTCCTCAGTCACGTGCCTGCCCTGCTGTCCATGAGCTGCAGGGATTGAAGAGGGAGAGGATTGTTTGGTAATGCTAGCAGGGCTGGGCCAGGAGGGGCACTGGGAGACACCGCTCCTTGTTCTGGGTGAATTGGGGACGGAATTATATGCAGCTATTACTCCCTCTCCTTCTCTGGTCAAGAGGGAAGGGCTGTGGGGTATCTGGTCTTTGGGCAGGTAAGTGAGCCCTTGGCATGCTTACTTGCTTAGAGCCCACTCCAGGTTACCTACCCAAAGCGGTGGAAGCCATCAGAGAGATCAGACTTGGAGATAAAGGAGCATATCAACACACACAGAAGAGGGAATTCACCTTTAATAAGATGGGGCTCACCAAAAGCTAAGGTGTGGGCAATAGCTGGGCACCCAGAGAAGAGGATCCTAGCAAAGTCCTCTTCTCCACCCCCAGAAGCCACCTGCTTCCCAGAGAGAAGTGGCTTTGAAGTGGGTCAGGCATGCATGCTGGGGGAGAGGGGCTGCCTCCTCAGAGTTCCCAGCACCCTAGAGATGTGTGGCACAGCACCCAAAGGAAGGTTTCCTGTGGACAAACACTCCCGAAGCCTCTTGTCCAGCTCCTGCCTGCTGCAGAGAGAAGATGGTTGCTTGACTTTTTCCTTTCTAGTCTTTTGTTTTTGTTTTTTGGACCAGTGATAGAGCCACATCCCCAACCCCTTTATTATTATTTTTTAAATTTTATTTTGAGACAGGGTCTTGCTAAATTTATTAGGGCCTTGCTAAGTTGCTGAGGCTGGCTTTGAACCTGTGGTCCCCCTGCTTCAGCCTCCCGAGTTGTGGGGATTACAGGTGTACACCACTGCACCCAGCCTCTTCTGGGCTTTTGAAACCAAGACTCACAGTTGCCTTCCTCCATTCACTGCACCACAGCCTTTCTTGCTCTGGGATCTTCTATGGCTCCCTTAGCATGTCACATGAAGTGCATATTTCCCCTTGGCATTTAAGGACCATCTGGGTGGTTTATTGCTACCACTGCCCTTCTGTACACCAGGAAGCCTGTGATTGTTTCCACTTTGTGCTTTTTAAAGCTCAGCACACTTTATTCCTTCCCCGGGATCATCCAAGCCCACACTAATTCTTGTTTTGAGATTCTCCAGCAAGGACTGTCAGTCCCTTGTCCAGGGCCCTCAGCATATCTGCATCTCTAAATGAGAAAAAAAAAATGATAATTCAGTACTTTTGGTGAAAAGAGTCGGACCAGCGCTCATCCATTCAGCAAACACCCATCAAGCAGAAATAGTGACATCCCCTGCCTTTTCAATTATCAATTTCACAAACTGGTCTGTTCGTTTCACCAACAGTACTGAATCATCATTTTTTTCTCCAAAATATTATGCTTTTTTCATTTCCCCATGCCTTTCCCCATGCTGTTCTCTATGCATCCATGCCTTTACCCATCCTGTCATGCTGGGAAACTTCTAGTCATTTTGATGACCCTTATCAAATGTCCTTTTCAGACCAGATCCCTGATCTTCACAAGCTCTATCAAGTGCTTTCTCCTGTACTTCCTGAAGTCCCTGAGCTTCCTGCCATTTATAGCACTGATCATCTAGGGTGTGACTACTGGTTGCTTATCAGTGTCTCACTCTGGCATGAGCTCTGTGACACCAGGACCAGATGGGGCTGGGGTTGAGCAGGTGGTCTGTGCCTGATGAAAGTATGGGTTTGAGCCTGTGCTTTGCTCCTTGCCATCTGGAGGACTGGGCAGCTCCCCTCTGGGCCTCAGGGTCCCTCTTGCAAATTGAATAGCTGTAACCCAGAACCAAGTGATGTTGAGTAGGGTGGGAAGTGCTGCTCATGGAAGACCCACCTAAGATTCACATAGCAGAAAAAGCCAAAAGTCTGGATGAGGAGGAAGAACAGGAAGATGCCGGGCCGTAGACAAGTGGAGGCTCCTGGGGGCCATCCAGATGGGCGGGGGGACTTGACTGCTGCTTTCTGAAAGGGGAAAGTCTGAGATCTTGATCAGCTTCTAACACAGAAGGAGGGGGGGGTACCTGGAATCTGTGCCATACTTGAGCCCTGTTTATCTCCCCAGGTTTGGGGCATGCTGGCTCTCATCTGGGGAACCTGGAGGAGAGGCAGCATGCATTTCCTCCCCCACCCCAGCTCTGATGGCTCCATCTGTGAGAAAAGCTGGGAAGACCTAGATCCTGAGATCATCAGGAGGCCAAGGGCTTAAGAGATGAGAGAGACTGAAGTGGAAAACAAAGACAGGATGAGGGTGAGGGCGAGGGAAAGAGCAAGAAGGTACAAGGGCACAGAAAAGAGCCCCTCTACCATAAAACTCTGAATGATCTTGGGCACAGCCCACCCCATTTCCCTTCTGGTGGTTGAGTTGGAAGAAGGGTGAAAGAGCCCGGACCTCAGGGCTGGGGCCCCCATGCTACCCACTACTTCTCCATTACCACTGGGTCCCGAAGACTCTTATGCAGGAGGCTCAGGATCTGGTCCAGCTCTAAGAAATGGTGCTCGGTGCCCACAGGCAGGTAGAAGATCTGGGCTCCTGAGGCCATGCGAGCAGCTGCATTGCTGGTGTGTGTGTGGAGTGAAAACCATAGGAATGACTCATTACCCCTTCAGGTTGTACCCAAATTAACTAATCATTTCCCACAATTCCCAGGGTAGTGAATAGGTGGGGAACAGACACCATTCATAGGGGGTTTTCTTGGGGACTGGTCTTTTTACTCCAGATCTTTTCCTTAGATCTTGAGCCAGCTCTAGCTCAGACAAGTTCTCTTTAAATCTGTCTTTCTCAACCTGAGGCTCCTTGGGCTCTTTCTTTCACCTACAGACCCCAGGGAATTTAGCTTCTTCCCTCTTCCCCTATACCACCCCAGGTGTCTGGATGTGGGGTGAGAGCGCCCATGGCATCCAGGTGATCTCCCCACTCTTAGGAGTCTATGGGTAGCTCCACAGGCCTGAGTGCTCCAGAGTAGGATGCTAGGAGGCTGGAGAAGGGCAAAAATGAATTCAGGAATTGTCTCCAGCTGGTCTGATCTTGGTTGTGCTCCTTCCAAGAATGTTCATCAAAACATTCGTTCCTTCCATAAACTATCACTGGAGGAAAGCTCAGAGTTACTAAGCCTCGCTGGGGTGGGAATGTCTCAAGGTGTCCTTCATGATGGGCTTTTCCTAGGGATAGTTGCTTTTAAACTAGGACTTTATTCAGTTAAATTGAGGTCAACTCAGCTAACATAACTTCAGCCCCAGGCCCTCTCATTGCCAAACTCTGTGCTGGTTGTTCAGGAAATAATGAAAGGAAGGAAGGGCCCAGAGAGGAGCTGCAGGCAGACAGACAAGTTAGTAGAGAGGCTTCTCTTCCCTCTTCCAGCTCCTCCCTTACTCCACCTTACCTCATCTCTTGCAGGGCCTGGAGCAAAGTCTGCTGTCCATAGAGCAGGGTGCTGATCTTGGCAGAATCCTGCGGAGAGCCAGTCTCTTATCTTTGGTCCAGGACCCAGCTGTCCTCCCCTCAAAGCCCACCTTCCCCAGAGATACTGCAGCCCCCCTCCTTCCAGAGGCCTTACCAGTTTACCAGGGCCCTTCTCATTTGGGGCAGGTAGAGTTTACCTGACTCCTGTTCACCTGGGCTTCTGAAGTCTTCTCTCCTGATCTCAAGCCCCTTCTCCCTAAAGAGGCTTGTTCCCACCAACAGAGTCACCCCTAGACCTTATCAAGCTCTTCCAATTTCTTTTTTTTTTTTAACACAATGCCTTTATTTTTATGTGGTTCTGAGGATCGAACCCAGGTCCCGCCTGCCTGTGCTAGGCAAGCGCTCTATCACTGAGCCACAATCCCAAACCAAGCTCTTCCCATTTCTAAAAATGTTTCTTCCTCCCTGAAGTTCAGCCCAGTCCTCTCTCCCTTTACTTCTCCCAGAGCATGACCCAAGCTGGAGGCCAGTGCTAGTTAACAGCCAGGGCTTGGTTCCCAGTCCTGCAGAGTGACCTAGAGAGGTGGCTGCCCTTTTGGGGGATGAATGGAATCTCTCAGGAACTGAAGGTAGGATCAGAGAGGACTGGCCCTAGGGTGTAAACCCCCTCCCCTCTGTCCCACTCCAGCAGCCCAGACTAATCTGCTCTGGTCTGAGGACAAAAGATTAAAATCTTGACCCTTCAGAACCCAGCAAAGCCTGAAAGTGCTGCTGGTCTCCTCTGCTAGGCACCTAAGCACCTAAGTGTTGGCTGGGTTTAGCTCTCAACCCCCAAGGCTGGGCAGTGCCCTGGGACATGACTCCCTGGGGTTGGAACTTGGAGGGACAGTGAAGATGAAAAGAGGATTCTGATGCAACTGAGCATTAAGCAAGCCACAGGCAAGTCACTTGTGAAGCTACATGCAAATTAGCACCTAGTCTATTTCTGTCATTCGTCTACAGACCCAGATCCAAATTCCTGGCATCTCCTCTCCCCAGCCCCAACTGTATGGCTCTGGAGCTTTTGCTTGTGCAGAGATGTCCTCGGGCATGCTGGCCTGCCCCATCCTGGGACCTGCAGTCTTTAATCCCTGCCCTCTTTGCACTCCAGACTTTAGGGGAGACTAGTTCCTGACTATAGTTCTTTTCCTCTTTTAGGACCACAGGTGGAGACTTGGATGCCCAAGGGGCCACTCACCCAGGCTCCCTCAGGCCTGGCCTGGCCTAGGAACCCCAGCTGCTTCTTCCATTGCATCTCTGCCTGGGCCAACTGCTCAGAGAGAGCCTGGAGGTCCTGCAGGATCTTGTTGTGCCTGCCCAATGTCTCCTCCAGGTCAAAGAACCTTTCCCCTGGGGATGGGGCAGAGCTGGGTGGGTGGCCATTGGGGTGGGGAAAAAGATCCTACCTTCAGGGACTTGAGGAGCATCAAATGGTATGGCTGCTCCCTTGGAGAGTTTCTGGGTGGAGAGGATAGTACAGGACACCTGGGTCCACGTTTGGCTTAGATATGGCTTCCTTAGACCTCCATTTCCCCACTGGTTGAAGGACTCCTGATTCTAAGGACATAGGATCATGATACTCAAATGGGCCACTTCCCCTCCTGCCCACTCCCTGGGTCTCTACCCTCTTCCTGGGCTTTTGAGTTTGGCTGTGGAATTATAACCACCCTGCTGCCCAGGGCCAGCTTGGCCTGCAGCCCTTCCAGCTGCCTTGCCAGACGAAGCTGCTCCATCTCCAGGAAAGGCTGAGGGGGAACCTGAAGGAGGAAGACAGAGATCAAGCCTCAACCTATGGGAGAGCCAAAAGTGGAAAGAGCCTTCCCACAGGATCCCGCAAGAGCCTAGCTTCCCTCCCTGACCAACTATTCACCCCACCCTGGGGGTGGGGCTTCGCTCAGCCTCCCCAGCTCTTTCTAGCCTTCTGAGCTCTGCCTCTACCTCCAGCCCCACACCCCACACTCTTCCCTCCCTGTTGCAGCCTCAGGCCTGTGTATGTAGGGTTCCTTTAAGCTCCCTCCTCCAGGCAGCCTTCCCTGACCCTCAGGCAGTTTAGACCCCTCCTCTGTGCTCGCCACAGCCTGGGTGCCTTTTTTTTTTTTTTAACTAAACTTTTTTCCATAGCTTTATTTTATTTATTTTTTATTTTTCTGTGTGCTGAGGATGGAACCCAGTGCCTCACATGCGCTAGGTGAGCACTCTACCACTGAGCCTCAACCCCAGTGCCCCCTGTGCCTTTTGATAGCCAGCACAGATCACTCTGAGCTCTCTCATATCATAGCCTGACTCCACCAACCAGCCTGGGAGGCCTGGAGACAGAGCCTGACCCCCAGCACTGCCAAGCACAAGGCTTGGGGCCCGAGCAGAATTAAGAGAACAGGTGAGGATAAGGGCTGAAATGGTGAGTCTAAGGACATGATGAGACCGGCAAAAGCATCTGGGGAGGGGTGGGTCCCTGGGCTGCCTCTCGGAGGCAGGCCAGGGCTCGTATCACCTCTGGACCCGGCTCATTCAGGCTGAAAGTCAGGAACGACAGGACATCATGGTCATCTGGAAGGGGGATAGATGAAGGGGACATAAGATCCCTCCACCCAGCAGCCTGCTCATCCAGACCTCACTCTGCCCCCAGGCTCCATTATATCCCAGGAAGGCAAGAGGTCGGGGTGACTTTGGGCATTTGTCTTTCTCACTTCATAAAAATGGTGTGAGAGCCAGGGAAGCAGATGTGTGGGCTGTGAGGGTGAACCACACATTCAGCTAGGCCCCTGTGCGTGGGAATACTGGACAATCACAAAGCATCCAGGGCTGGAGCCATGACAGCAGGCCAAGGGACACCCTCCCATCCCAGAGCACAGTTGCTTTTGGCAACAGCATCCTGCAGGGGCTGCTTCCCCACGGTGGCTTGGATCACATCTCTCTCCTCCTCAGAAACCTTCCAAGGCTCCCCAGTGCCCAGTCTAAAGACCAAAGTCCTACTGGGTGTGGTGGTGCACATCTACAATCCCAGCATCTTGGGAGGCTGAGGCAGGAGGGTCCTGAGCTCAAAGCCAGTCTTAGCAATTTAGCAAGGCCCTAAGCAATTTAGCAAGACCCTGTCTCTAAATAAAATTCAAAAAAGGGCTGAGGGTGTGGCTCAGGGGTTAAGCACTCCTGGGTTCAATCCGGTACCAAAATAAAATAATAAAATAAAGACCAAAGTCCTGCCATTCAAGGACTGCCATGCTCTAATCCCAGCCTGCTTTCCAGCTGCAGACCCTCATGGGCTCCCCCCTGCATCACCTCCCTCTGCTCTATTTCCCTAAATGTCCCCTGTAGCCACTATCCTCCTTTCACCTGCCGCATTGCATGGGGGAGGGGCAATACTGGAATAAAAGCTTCTCACGTTTTATCACATTTGAGAGTTTCGGTAACCCTGCAAGGCAGATGTGACCTTCTCCAGATGGTAATAGAGACCCAGAGAGGGCTCGTGACTTGCTCGGGTCACATGGTGAGGAAGTGGTTGACCCCACACACAGAGCTCTTTAGAAGGGATGCGAAGGATGAGTCATTTCACAGGGTCCCTAGGCGAGCCGGGGCTCAATGGCAGAGCACTTGTGGCAGAGCACTTCCCTAGCACAGCAAGGCCCTGGGCTCCACCCCAGCACTACCCACACAAAAAACGAACACTGCCCAGGGAGGTCCTCACCTGCCAGGGTGCTGGTGGCTGCTGAGACCCCAAAGAAACCTCCAGGAGCCAAAAGCACGGACCCCACATCGACACAGACCTCATCTGGGTCACTGGGAGTGAGACCAGTGCTCAAGGACACCTGAAGGGCATAGAGGGCATGAGCTTCTTCTTGTCGCCTTACCCAGCAGCGGGGGATCATCCCCACCTCTGACTCTCTGGCTCCCCTGGTCCTGAAGAAGGACAGACAGCCAAGTGCTTGGGATCTAAATGACATGAAGGTGACCTGCACTCTGGTTTCATGTGAACACTATGTGCTTGTTCTCTGGGTGACTGCTAGGATTCTGTATACAGGTGGAGGATCCCACATGGGATGTGCCAGGAATGCCACGTGAGTGGAGGGACCCTTTGTCTCTGATACCCTTTGTGGTATCACAGACACGAGTCTGTTGGGGCCATGGGCACCCCCCACAGCAACTGTGTAGCTTGGAGCTCTGTAATCTGCCAGCAAAGGACCCCTAGAAGCAGGAGGGTGACTCACACGCAGCCTCTGCCTCCAGAAGGTGATCCGTGTTCTGATGGGATATGGCCGGTTCCGGAAGTCTCGGTGACAGGAGCCCAGTACCTGGTGATTTGCTCCATCCCTGTGAGAGCTGGAATCTAGCCAGGCCACTTAAGACCCTAGGCCCAGCCAATGAGGGCACTCCAGAAGTCACTCTGCTGAGGCTTGTGGTGACACCCCCTTCCCAGTGGGTGGCCTGGTATGAGACTTGAGTCTCCCTTGCTGTACTCTGCCTCCTTAGCATAAGAAAGAGGGATAGGAAAGCAGGCTTCACCTGGCAGAATATTGGGACTTGGAGTTTACAGAGGAGGCTGAGGCCTCCCTGAGGCCTTTCCCCAGAAGGCCAGAGGCTTGAACCAAGTATGGGTTTCTGTTCCCTGCACCCCACCACCTCATCTCATTGTCCCTTTCTCCCTTAAACTCCAAGTCTCCCCATGACTCTGGGGATACTTCTTTTCTTCTCTTCTATCAAGGCTTGGACCGAGCGGGACTGATAGCTTGGCACATGTCTTTATGGCCAAGGACAATATGACCAGCTCATTTCCCAACAGGGGTGACACAGCAGGCTCTGGAGAGTTAGGAGAAGAGTCATGAGCCCTGAGTTCCTCTGGGCACATGGGTGCACAGACACTGTGGGCAGCTCACACCAGAGCATGTCATTGTCACCTACATGGGAGAGGGAAGCAGCACAGAGCCAGGGAGAAGCAGATCCAGAGCAGCTCCCTGAGTCTGCACTCCTAGCTGTGTGACCTTGGGCAAGTTACCTCACCTCTCCATGCCCGGGGTATTCCCAGTCTTTAAAATGAAGAGGATAATTGCCATTACCTCATAACAATGGCTATGAAGGTAACTAAGAATGAATGTCAAGTGCTTGGGCACTGTGCCTATACAGTAAACTCAGCTCCACAAAGGTTAGCAATTATTCTAATTGTTATGAGTGGAGGGATGTTTGCTAAGAGACACCGACAAACCGGCCCAGCCACTGAGGAGCAGCTGGGCCACGGAGGCCAGCAAGCCACGTCATCCGGGAGAAAGGGAAGACTCAACTGGTGCAGGGAAGGGCGTGGAACCTCCATGGGCAAGTCAGGACTCCAGTCTCAGCTCTGCACACAGCTGTGTGACCTCAGTAAGTCATTTCACCTCTCTGGGCCTCTGTGTCCTCACTTAACAATCCCCACTTAACAAGGGGATTTCACTTGGGACTATTGGGTTGAATTACTTGAGAACTCTGTGGGGCAGTTCCCAGGAAGAGCAAGTGTTCTGGTTTTGGGGCTGCTGCAGGCACAGCTGACACCCAGTAAGAGGTGTCCCAGGAGGCAGCTGTGGGCTCAGAGAGAGCCAGCATGGTGGCAGCTCTAGCGGCGGTGGGGGGCTCCCTGGGGCAGGGGCTGAGCCCTCATAGCCCAGGGTAGGGGCAAGTCAGTCCCCACAGACCCTTACCCAAGCTGCTCAGAAGGGACGTACCCATCGCTGGCCACCACACGGATTACAGGGCTGTCCTGCATGGGAGTGACAATCAGCCTGAGCCCTGGGCACAGAAAGGAGGGCAAGGGAATGGGCAGGCAGGAGAGCGCTACTCACCTGGGTATCCTCGGCCGAGGAGTCAAAGAAGATCCCGATGCCGTCCCATGAGGCCAGCCCCCCAAAGACAGAGCCAACTTGGCCCCTGTTCTGGGTATACCATACAGCCTGCAGGTCCCCAGACCTTCAGCTCAGGGTCTCTGAAGGACACTGGAACCCAGGGCTCATCCCCCTCCTCCCTGACTCACCCACTCTGTTAGGCCTGGGTGGTGGCTACTCACCATGCCCTGGGCTCCCCGGTGCCCGGGCCCAGTCACCCTCATCTGCATCTCCACCTCCCAAGCAGGGAAGAGGACAGAAGTCTCGCTCCACACCGCGCCCTTCTGGTTCCTCATGGATGGCACTAGGCGTACTTCCTCCAGGCCCAGGATGGTATCTGTGGAGCAGGGAAGCTCAAGGGCCAGGGCCCACTATTCTCTCAATCCCCAACTGCCTGTCTTATTGGCTGGAGCCAGGCCCTGGGAGGGGAAGAAGGTCACACCTGACCTGCTATGAAGTCAGGAGCCCATTAGGGCTGGAGTCGTGGCTCAGTGGTAGAGCACTTGCCTCAATCCTAGCACCACATGAAAACAAATAGAGGCATTGAGTCCATACACGACTAAGAAATATATATTAAAAAAAAAAAAATCAGGGGCCCGTTGGACCCATGCAGGAGCCAATTGAAGAAGGGAGATCTACAACCCAGCACAGGAGGGGACAGTGTCCCGGGTGGGAAAGTTGCCTGTGTTCTCACTTCAGCCTCACTGAAGCCTGTGTTATCTGTTTTGATGAGACTCCATTTACCAATGAGAAAACGGAGGCTCAGAAAAGTCAAGGAACCAAGTGGATTGGAATTCATTTCAATCTGACTTCAAAGTACAACATTTTACTGCCATGAGAGAGATTCGTGTTGTCAGATTAGGAGATTAAGGACTTGTGAGGGCAAGGGGAGAGCTTGAAACTACAGAGCACAGGAGAGCAACTTGTGAGAGAGTAGCCCCAGGAGGCTCAGGATTGCAGGTTGTGGAAGCTCAGAGGACACTCACTCGGCTGAATGGGGCTTCATTGTGTGTGTTGCAGGGAGACCTAGTTCCTTCCAAGATGAGGAAGGCTTGAAAGCAGGAGGGGTGGGCAGAGGTGGCTGCTAGCTCTCAGGTCAGTGAGGAGGGGAGAAGGATGGAGCTAGTGTGAGAACCATCCCTGGTGTTGGTGGGGACCTACATAGTAGGAGAGCAGAAAAAGGAGAGACACTGAGAGACTTGGTAAGAACCAGGGGAAGGGAAGTCTGAGTCCCCACTCCAGCTGGCTCCCCAGCCCTCCGGCCTGCCAGCCTGGAACCTGGCCCAGGGCCCAGACCCTGCCAGGACTTTCCAAAGGCTGCTAATCCAGCCTGTTTGCTCTGCAACGGCCAGGGATGGGGGCAGGGAGGCTCAGACACAGCAAGGCTGCAAGTCCCAGGGCCCCTGGAAGCTGCTGCCACCTTGAAGTGACTTGCAGGAGACCAGGGTTGTCTGCTAACTGCTACACTTACATGCTCAGCCTTCTGTGGAGTGTCTGTGGACCTTGCCATAGACCATGGGCTCCTTGAGCCTGACCGGGCTGGACACAGAGGAGCATGGGAGTGGGGGTTCCATAAAAGGTGAATGAATGAATGAAGAAGCTACAAGCAAAATCACTGGGTGATTTCATAAAATGTGCCTCTGCTACCCTACACAGTCTGTGACACTTGGCAAGGCCCAGAACAATGAGCATTGTACCTGCCCTGCCATCCTGACCCTGAGGCAGAGCCTGGCTTGGTGCTGAGAGAAAGAGCCCACTCATATGTTTACTTCCCGTTCCTCTGTGAGGAGATTAGAACAAAGACCCTACTAGCAGGTTTTATCATCTTTAAGGGCCTCAGTCAGCAAGTGGGCCATTTTCCAGAACTTACATCTCATAGATAGTAATACACAGGCCATCTGCTTGCTCTCTTTGCTTTGCCTGCCAGGAAGCTCTAAACTAAATCTATGGTTAAACAAATCTCAAGGTATATGTTTTGGAAGAAAGCCACATTCCTGCGCTTATTTCCTGCCCCATTCTCATTGCAAGTATCTTTCTTACTTATTCCTAAATTAAGCTCCTTTGTATTTTATAATTCTTAGTCATCACAAACTTTTTTTGAGAACAAAATCAGGTAGAAGATAGACTCTTTGTAACAGTTCTGGGTTTGGAGGGCCTTATATACAGACCTGTGGAGTAAGATGCTTTCAGGTTTGATTCTATCCCCAACACACATACAAGGAAGGGCTGGTGCCTGCTGTGGCAAAACAGCTGGACACGAAGATGCCTCCCTCCAGGTAGCCTCCCAGTTCTTGTGGACAGCCATGACCCACCAAGATGAATCCTAGACTGTAAGCTTGTACTGGTCTGAGGTAATTTGTTTCTGTGTGTCTGGGACTTAGAGTGTGTGTATG